AAAAAAAAAATACCCCCAAAACACTTTTTTCCCAAATACATTAAAAAGTTTAATTAAAAAAAGTAGCCGTAATTTAGCAACAAAGTTACAGATAATATGACTTGCAGAAATAATACAAGAATGCTCAGAATATGAAAAAGATCTTGCAATATTTTTGTAAATTACTTTTGAAATTAAACAACTAGAGTCAGAATTCCTGAATTTTAAAGCAGAATTTTTTTCAGAATTATTCAGAATGATTTTAGAAACTTATGTTTGCCCTAGATTTTTTTTACCACATTGAAAAATAAAACCAAAACCAAAAACTAGATGCTCAAGTCACTTTTAAACTATGGAACCTTCTCATTTCTTGTACTTCAGAATCCCAGGTGGTGAAATAGGGCTAATCATGCTTGCCACTTCAGGTAATGTGAAGTCCTGAGCTCACATCCTGGGCATGGAAAGTACTGTGTGGTAATATTTTGTTTGTAGTCAGAGCCACATGTAAGTTGTCCATGACAGATGTGGGACTTCACCTTCATTAAAAAACAAACAACAAAACAAAACAAAACCTCTCCTGAAAGATTGCTCAGCATCTTTGACCAACTCTTCTAATGTTAATTTGCACCACACTTCGAGGGGATTCTTTCTTTTGGCTAAGAACATCCTTTTTTCCTGTGGCATTTTAAACCTGTTGTATGATGTGAAGATGTCAGATAATTGATAGTGTATGCAGGCTGCCTTGCTTTCCTTTGTCATGCTGATCACTAAAGCTGTAGAGTGTGTCTGTGTTTCTTTTCCAGCAAACACCTCAGATATTGGAAGAGCTAACTAAGGACAGGCGAGAAAATTTAAGGTTTTCCGTCTTCCTGCACTCAGGATTATCAATACACTAGATATAAAATGATGCATTAGTTTGAGCCACACTGCTCTTAATTAGCAAAAATGTAGTGTTTTAAATTAGGATTTTAAAGGACCTTTTCTTGAATTTATGGAAAATCCATTCTGACTTGCTACAGGATCGCACCACACAGACCACTGTAACAAGTGTCTTAATTATTTGCTGTGACCTCGTAGATCGCAACATGATTAGTTCATCACCTTGCCTCCTGGGAGACTGTGTGAAACACGGTCTTCTGTTCACAATCTGGTAAAAAATTAGATAGGTTTTTCTCTTGTTCATTGCTGTGTTGGATAAGTTGTGCAGAATCAATTAGCCTCTTGTAAATTTATTTTTTTTATTTTTTTTTAATTCTATAAAAGAAACCAAGTCAAGAGTGGAATGTAGGGAAAAGGGTAAGGAAGTTTGGGTGCTTAAGTAGCATATAGAAGAGAATTGAGGTTTTTTGTTTTGTTTTTTTTTTAAAGTTTCGTCAGGAGTGGCCACCACCTTTAG